TCGGTTACTATAATAAGTTTTTAGGTTAGATAAGGCAACGGGTGACTGGACCTTCTATGTCAGAGGCGAATTATAATGCCTCGGTCAACGGGATTTAATCTAAACCAAATGCTTTGTGATTCGGAGAGTTCCTGGAACAGAGAAAAGATACGTTTTATATTTGCACAAGTTCAAACAGAAAGATTCCATAAGCTCAGAGAATGGTAGCCAAAAAAAAAAGTTGTTTCTCTTAAGTTCAATCAAAGGAACAAAGAGGGCGCACTTTGTAGTCACCTTCTCTTTTGTCTCCGCTGGCCTGCCTGCTTCTGCTCTTGACACAAAGCAGGGCCAATGCCTAGAGAACTTGACCTAACAAGTACTTGGCACCTCGTGGGGTTGGTGGTTGTCAACTGCCTTTGAGTTGTCCTCTGATGCAGGACAACCCCAGGCACGATGGGACACAATGCTGCCTGGTCCAGCCCGATCCCCACTCTAACCTGCTGGATGACGACACCCCCTCCCAAACAAACACACACACACACACACACACACACACACACACACTAGTTTCTTAACTCTGGGTACACCCCAATAAGGCTGTTTTGCCTATCAGAAGCCAGACTATCGGTAAGTGGACAGTCTTCAATGAAATCAGCGAATACTTGTCAGCTTGTATTTGAAACTTGTCCTCAGTGAATCTCTCCAGGTCACCCTGCTCCTGAGGGAGAACAGCGATCACTCTTTGTTGACGCTCTCCTCCCACTCTACAGAGTGCTTCCCAGTGAGCAAGGTCCAGTGCCACCCCGCAGGAGGTGTATTTCCCTCCACCATTCATGGATTTATTCACGCCACAATTTTTGTGTGTACGAATACTAACTTGCCCCGTTGTTTTCTATCACTTTCCTCAGTTTTCTTTCCTTCAGAGCACTATTCAGTAGTTGTTTTCTTACCCATTTCTTTGTTTGCTTTGTAATTCATTTCTCCCTTTAATGAACTCCTGGGTAATGCAAGCAGTTAATGTGCTTAGCTAGCAACGGAAAGGTTTGTGGTTCGAGTCCACGTAGAAGCCTCCTGAAACTCTGCCAGGAACCATTCGGTCATACCTTTATTTTTTCAACAAATGCATATGGAACACCTGTTATGCCTCAAGTGGAGCTTTAGACCTTAGAGATAACATGATGAATAATACTTCTTCAATCTGTATCCTGAGCAAATAATCAGAGAATCTGGTTTATATGAAGAAGAATGCAGCATCAGGACTGGAAGAATGCTTATTAACAATCTGCAATATACAGATAATGCTGAAAGTGAGGAAATCTTGAAGCACTTGCTGATGAAGATCAAGAATTTGAGGGCTTCAGTGTGGATGACATCTCAATGTAAAGAAAATCAAAATCCTCACAGCTGGACCCATAGGTAACATCATGATAAACAGAGAGAACGTTGAAGGTGTCAAGAATTTTGTCTCACTTGGATTCATAATTAATGTTCATGGATGCAGCAGCCAAGAAATAAAACAATGCATTGTGTTGGGGAAATCTAATGCACTAGACCTCTTTCAAGTGTTGGAAAAGTCGAAATTGCCTCAAATGCATGTAAAAGTTGGACATTGAATAAAAAAGGCCAATGATGAATCCATGCATTTGAATTATGGTGCTGGCCAAGAATATTGAAAACATCACGGAATGCCAAAAGCACACACAAATGTATCTTGGAAGAACTACAGCCAAAATGCTCCTTAGAAGCAAGGACGGCAAGCCTTTGTCTCCCATACTTCAGACATGCTCTCAGGAGAGAATGCCCTGAAGGAAGACATCCTGCTGGTGAAGTTGAGGGTCAACAACAAAGAGGTTGACCCTGGGTAGATGGATGGTCGCAGTGGCTGCCACAATGGGCTCAAGGTCATTGTTGTGGGGATGGCACAGACTGGGCAGTGCTGCATGCTGTTAGGCAGAGGGTTGCTAAGAGTTGTGGCCAACTCAGTGGTCCCTCACAACAACCCCATCGTGCACAAGGCAGAAGGTCCTTGCCTTCATGACGTTTTTGTTTTACTTTTTCAAATGAGGAAAATAGATAAGATATGAATTTTTAAAAAAAATAGCTAACATGTATTGAACCCTTAAAATGTGTCAGGTAACATCAGGTTTTTGTTTTCATATATTTTCAACCATTTAATCCAAATTATGAAATAAACTCTTATTATTATTCTCCTGGAAACTCTAGAACAGTGGTTCTCAACCTGTGGGTCACGACCCTTTGGGGGGGTTGAACAACCCTTTCACAGGGGTCGCCTGATTCATAACAGTAGCAAAATGACAGGAAGTGGCAATGAAAATAATGTTATGGTTGGGGGTCACCACAACACGAGGAAGTGTATGAAAGGGTCGCGGCATTAGGAAGATGGAGAAGCACTGCTCTAGAGCGTGGTTCTCCTCTGACACGTGGGTCGCTAGGAAGCAAAGTCCCCTGGATGGCAAGTGGCTTGTTTTTGTCTTCACTGGGAGGTGCGCGTCCAGGAGGGCCAAGATGCTGTCACGTCTTTCACTACGTCCTCAGCACTGAATGCGGTACGGCAGCGCAGAAGTGAAAGAGTGCACATTTCCTCTGGGCTTAGACTGCACCTTACTTCTCAAGTTCTTAAAGAATCCCAAATCCTATAAACATATGCCATCAGCATCCCATTAAAGTAATTTTTGCTAATTTTCGACTACAATCATATCCCTTTTCCTTTGTTATGGGACAGCAGAAGGTCCCTGCTCCTGTACTTACCTGAGGGCCCTGTGACCTCCCAGCTTCTCTGCTGGCCGGCAAGGCCGCTGGTGCTAGAGAGTAAAGGAAAGAAAAGAAAGGAGGCAAACAAAGCGAAGCTCAGAACTGTGATGCCGAGGCCCAGGGCAGGGGGCTGCTGCTGGGCAGGCGCTCCATCCTTTCAGCATTGAAGTTCTTATCAAAGACAATGCCATATTTTGAATTCTACATCTCTGGTTTGTTTATTCCCCCAGGATAATCCAATGGTACTTACTTCTTCTTCTTCTTTTTTTCATACCAGCATGAGAACAGAGGCCTAATTTTGAAGGCTATTTCTTTATTAAGAAAAGAAGTGCTTTTCCATGCTTCAGCTCATCTGACGCTGAAGACAATTTTGTGGGGCTGGAGGGAAACATTGCTATTGTCCCTTCAGAGAGGGGAACCTGGATGGCTCTCATGGGTAGCAGTGAGCAAAGCCAGGGTTGAAACTCAGCTCTTCATTGGATAGGTAACAGATTGAATGAACCTCTACTGTGCGCCAGACACCCGGCTGATCTCTGGGAAAGACAGACAGCTGAGCAGTCTTTCTGGGTCTCTTTCAAAGTCCGGTAAATATGTGTTAGGACCCAATCTCATCTAAGGACTCCGGGCAACAGGAAATCTAAGAATGTGCAGGTCCGCACACATGGAGTTCAGCAATAGTGACTCACATAATCCAGTATCTTTTCACATGAAAGTGTAACAGTTTTAAGGAGATTTCTAAAGAAGACCTATGATTCCCAAGAGTTCAGGAAGCACTAGGTCTAGTTCTAACATAATTTGGAATAAAATAATCAGAAAGTTTTCTGAACATTTGAAGGAAAACCCCCATAATAGTCAGTCTTGAAAGGGCAACAGCGGAGACAGGGGGAATTTCTAACATAAAACTAGTCCGCCGATTAGAACCAGGCTCCACCAGCTTGTCAATGGCTCTGTGCAGTTGGAAAGGGATTGTCACACCTTTCTTCTGAGGTACCTCTAGGTGTATTCTAATTGCCAACCTTTCCGTGCGCAGCTATGTGCCCCCATTTTTTCACATTAGGAAGCAGCGGTTTCCCGGTAGGCCCCAGAAACCAAGGTCACTCTGCTGCCTGATTTCAGCTCTTCCCTGCCAAGGCTGTCAGCATTCCCTAATCTCCCGACAGACACAAGGGAAGCCGCCTGCATCTTCCCTTCTGCTGGGAAGAGTAGGAAGCAAAATGGCTTTGTGATTGTAAGAAATGGAGACATAATTAGCTCTTTTTCCTTCCAGGCAATAAAGATTTTTTTCTCCAAGGAATGCCCCAAATTAACAAACTGTTTGAGAAAGTTTGTATTTCCTTCTCTTAGCTTACTTAAGATCCATAGATGCAGAAATCACATTAAAGGGGTAAGAAATTTTAAAAAAAGAAATTTTAAAAAAGGGGTAAGAAATATTCATGGTTTATTGTTGATATAACAAGATAACATATTACATGATTGAAGTTAGAATGGGCTTCATCTACCTGGTGTCCATTAGGGAGGAAACTCTGGTGCCCCCCACCCCCAACTCATGGAACTCCTCCTCCACCAGGCCATACACAATCCTTAGTCATGTTTATTATAAAGTTTAATCATAGAATAGTATTATAAAGAATCACGGATAAATAGAAAATCGTAAATAAACCACATTTGTAAATTAGCTCAATGTAATGTTTCTTAGATTATCTGAATACTGAAAGTAAAGTTCTTTTGTAAAGTCTTCCTACATTACTTATAATAATGCTATAACATTATTATAAGCCACTGAGTGGAAGCCTTTAAAAATTCTCCAGCTTTTCCTTTACTATTTCATTCTTAGAAAATATTACTGTATTGATATAGATTCACAAATATTAATTACCACAACACGATCACAAAAACATTAGAAAATTTGACAAAATCAACAACTTAGAAAAGCAATGGCAATAAGGAAGACACCAGAGTGTGCTGCAGCACAGGCAGGTGGAACCACATGATTTGAAGCAAAACTGTCATTTTAATGGGTATAAGAAAATAGTGGCATCTCTCACCAAAGTATATGAAAGCTCCACAAAATAAATTAGCAAGAGTTTTAGCCTTTTAGATATACTGATGTGTCTCAGGGCAGGCTGATGAAAATGGTCATTTTGTTATTAAAACTAACTACAGGGATACTTTTGTTTAAAAGACATCAGTTTCTGCTGAAACACACATGAAAAGTTTGACAAACAGTCATGTGGATGTCACCCCTCTGTCAGAATCACCAGGTTGGTCTGGATCCTCTGTGCCTCCCTAGTGAAATCTTTTATTTGAGAGATCCTTTGGATACTTTGTCCCATAAGCTATAAGGATTATGGAATCCATAACTATTTTTTCTATCAAAGTTGTTTTGTTTTGTTTAACATTTGGAAAGCTCATAGATGTTTTCAAGATAGAACCACAAACCCCATGAAATGGTATGAAAAAACCAACATTTAAAAAATGTGTCTATATTGTGAGTTTATGGCAGTCAAAGGATTCCAAAATGAGTTCATGAACTAAACAGACTGAAAACTTCTACTTTATAATAGCTATGGAGGTTTTTAAATTTGTCAATTCATTTGTAAGTCATTTCACATTATCTTTGGGTGTTTCTTCAAAGTTGGCATTTGAAATCCAAACGTGTAATCATCAAAGCTACCTTTTAGGAACTACACAATGCCTAGTTCATACCACAACATTTATTTCAGTTGCACAATTTTGAGATGTGTTTCTTGCAACTGACAAGCAGAAAAGACTAACTATAAACTCAACTCAATTTCACTCTGATGATTGTAGATCTTGAGCAGCTGACTAAAATGGAATTCTCTGAAGCAGCTCCCCTATTCCCTTCTGTCTGTGGCCCAGGACCTGAGTGGACAAAGATGGTTATAGCTGATCACCCATTAGGTTGCTGGGACAGTGGGCCCGAAGGAACACAATAACCGTATCTGAGGCTTGTGGGCAGAGCCCTGTCTTATTAAATAGAGATGAGGTTCTCTGCCCTCCAGGTATTTGCCAACTAGCTGGAAAGATAAAAGATGCTCACAAGACAGAAATATGCACTTCTGTAGGCCTGGGTTTTTAGGCCACTCTACTGACTAGGAAAACGAGAAAATGTATATAAGATTGACCACCGGAACACAAAATCCCTGTGGCTAACACTTGCCCTTGACTTTGTCATTATCATGATCTCCCTATGAATTTACGGATAGGTTATAGTTGATTTGTCAGTTCAATCTGCCTTTGAAAAAGTCCAGATTGTTTTAAAAGATAAATTTGGGAGGTAAAATCGCAGGACTGAAATACATTTTGGGATTAAAAATGCACATTTGTTTTTCTAGAAGTCAATTTGCTTAAATTCAGAGAGTTGTCCGCCATCTACACAATGCGTTTTGTTTGTCGCAGTCTTCCGCTGACAAGCTGATAAAGAAAGTTTTCTTTCCTGTAAGGTAGAGAGAGAGAGAAAAATGAAACACACTTCTTTATATACACACATACATAATTCAGGATAGATGGTTTTTGGTTTTTTTAAAACACTATCAGAATAGGTGCGTTAAATCTTGATAAGCTTTGTAAAATTTATGGAGGTGTCCCCTTCATGGCCTGATGTGAGTTATGAAATCTAATTTTTTTTCATAGCTCTGTGATAAAATTTTATCAATGTTATAAAAGGGGTCTTTACTAAGAGTGACCGGAAATCTGAACTATCTGGCCAGGCAATAAAAACACATTTCTCAGCTGCAAAGTGTCAGACAAGCAAGGTTCAACAGAGATGGATCGATCAGCCTTCCTTTTTCAGTTGAGTGCATTCACTTTACCTCATAGGATAATAGTTTTTTTTAATAGTTTTTCCATTAAAATCAAACTTCAGTGTTAGAAAGACATAAAGGAGAGAGAGAGGCATGCTTTCCAGAAAGAAAAAAAAAAGAGTTGTGATCTTTAATAGCAGACGTTCGCACTCAGAGAAAACGCTTACCTGAATGAGGTTGGTGCCTTTTGTCAGTGGTCTCTACAGCCGTAAGAGCAGGGCAAGAGCTCGAGTGGGACCCTTGCTGCCTCGCCGTGTTCTCACAAAGGGTCAGGGCCACACTCATACAGAGCAATGTGCCTCCCGCTGTGAGCTGAGTTTGCCTTGCCTACCCTAGCTGTCAGTACGGAGAGCCTTCAAGTACACACAGTCATTCCTTGAATGCATCCAGGAGACCCACTTTTAGAATTACCTACTCAATACAAACATCAATCTGTGGCATTCGATAGCATACAAAACTTTACAACGAATTTCTAGGGTGGTGCAGGAGCAAAATCATGGGTTAGCCTCGCTGAATCCAAGTCCAGTTCTGCCAGTATTGGTTGCTGGCTTTGGTCAAGATAATGCTACCTCTCAGAAACTCAAGCACCCCATTTTGTAAAAGGGTGGGGGGGAGTAGAACTAGAAGAAATATCAGCTTCACAGGGTGGTCAGCAAGGAGCCAGGATGGAGTAGTGGTGACACATTAAGCTGCTAAGTGCAAGGTTAGCCGTTCAAAACCACCAGCCACTTCTCAGGAGAAAGTAGAGGTTTTCATAAAGAGTACAGTCTCAGGGGCAGGTCTACCCTGTCCTGTGGGGTTGCTATGAGTCAGCATCAACTCGATGTCAGTGAGGGTTTTGTTGTTGTTGTTGTTGTTTGTTTCTTTTTTAGGGTGGTCAGATAGAGTAAAGACCAGTTGCTGTGAAGTCAATCCTGACTCATACAAACCCTGTGCACATCAACAGGGCTACACGCAATGGCTGACTTTTTTGGAAGTAGATTGACAAGCCTTTCTTCTGAGAGCACTCTGGGTTGACTTTAACCTCCAACATTTCAGTTAACAGTCAAACGCCTGGACCCAGGGTAGACCCAGGAGGAATAATAAAACAGGTAACACAATGTGAAAGTCCTGCATGGTGCAGAGAATATGCTGACAGCCTGAACGTTTCAGTGCCTTTCTCTGTTTCTTGTCTCATCTGACTGTATCTCCAGGGACTTGAAGCAATAAGACTCAACTCAACTTCTGACTCCAAGACTCTCGATCTTTCCCTAGAGGGCACCTTCCAGCCTAGGGCTTCTCTCTACTGTTGTGAGGATGGTATTTGGCTTTGAGGTGAAGATAATCCCTAATGAACACCAGCAGAAAGGCTCTTCCAATGAGGAAGGCAGGCATCCAGGAATCAGCTGGAATTATGACTGTAACACTATTGATGCCCAGTCATATTCTGCTATTGAATCAGAATTAGATTTTTTTCAAGTGAACAAAACAAAACAAATTGTTTTGTTATTTGAGAATATACACAGCAAAGCATACACCTATTCAGTGGTTTCTGCCTGTACAGTCCAGTGATGTTGATTACATTGACTTATGGCACCATGCTCACCTTTCGGGACTTGTTTATCCCCAATTCACATAAATTCACTGCCCACTCACATTCCTGTCTAATCTTTTGACTTGATCTTGTCACTTTGATTCCACATAGATCATTCTGCAAAGAGTATATGTTCAAAGCAGACATCTTTGAGTAGCTGAACTATCATTTGGTTTTAAAAGACTTCAGGGCATAGTTTTGGTTTAGGTTTGAAAGCTGACTTCTGGGCGTTAACTTCAGGTGTTGGTCCAGCCCCCATGGCTCCATGAACCTGGAGTCTGTGACAATTGGACATTCTATTCTGCATTTCCCTTCCTCTTGCCTAAGATTCTTCTAGAGCATATTTGATCAAAATGTTTAATAATGCTAGATCAGTTCTTCTACTCTGATCGCAAAGGAGGCCATTGTTTATGGAAGCAATGAGTTACACATTCCACAACGTCCTCCTCTTTATGGCTCTCCTTCCTCTGTCACTTCTAGGCAAATAGAGAGCCAATGGCCATGCCTTGGCTGGGTGCTTGCAAGCTTCCAGGGCTCCAGGCACTAGAACAGAAGCACTAGACACATTATTAGGACAGTTAACTGGATGTCCCACAAAACCATGACAATTAAAATTCCAAACCAAGGAACCGAAACCCCTGAGATTCGGGATTGGACAGAGACAGGCTCAGTCGCTACTCTTTATTGTGGTTGTAAATATCTCGCACAACTTTTTCCAGGTCAACCTTTTACACGTTACTCACAGCGATTACAATAATAGGCCATACAAACCTACCCTTAAAGTGAGTTTTCCACCACCATTAATTCCTACTTTCCTCTTTCTTCCAACGCCTAGTAATCATTAATACACTGCGGTCTTTATGCATTCGCCTTTCCTCGTCTTTTTAAATAAGTGTCCTTCTGTGACTGACTGATTGCAATCAGTCTTCAAGCTCTATCCATAGTGCAGCATGCATCAAGACTTTCTGCTCCGGGCTGAGTCCTTTCCTACTGCACGGATCAGCACAGTTTACTTAGCCATTCAGCTACTACTGATGGTTATTTGTAACTTTTGACTATTATGAATAGTGCCCAATGCATACAAGTGCCCAATGGTGTACAACCCTTTCGAGTCTCTGTTTTCTGTCTTTGAGCCTAAGAGTGGCCATGTGTCATTTCTATTTTTAGGTTTTTGCAGAACCACCACCGTTTCCCACAACAGTGGGACCATTTTGCATCCCTAGCAGGGATAGGGTTTCGATTTCTTTACATCTTCACTCGCACGTGCTATTTTGGAGGATTTTGTTTGTTTTGTAATCTTAGTCATTCTGTCAGGAGTGAAAGGGTTCCTCATTCTGGTTTTGATTTGCATCTCTTTGATGGCTACTGATACTGGGAAACTTTTATGTCTTTGGCAACCACCTCAGGATCCTCTTGGTTAATATGTTTATACAAGTTCCTTGTCCATTGGATTCTTTGTCTTTATTCCTTGTCCATTTGTATTTTTGTTGTTAGGTTGCCAATGTTTTATATATATATTTTGGTTATGAGATCCTTATTGGATACATGGTATCGGAAGTTATTCTCGAGAAGGTAGCTTTTCTTTTCACTTTTTCGGTGAAGTCTTTTAATAAACAAGGCTGTTAATTTTTATGCAGGCCATTCGTTTATTGTGTCATTGCTATTGTGCTTTTGTTACAAGTGAGGCCCAATAGTGTTGCCCTTGCAGTGTCTTCTAAGAATTTAATGGTTTTTGTGTGTAGAGTTAGGTTCTTAATCCACTTTGAATTTTTTCTAGTGTATGAAGTGAGGCATGGCTCCTGTTTCACTTTTCTGCTTATGGAAATCCAGTTCCACGTTTCCCAATATTGCTTATTGAGGCGACTTCTTTCCCTACTATATAAAGCACCATTGTCATAAGTCAGTTGAGTGTTTGATCTGCGTTTTGTTTTTTCCTGGATCCTCAATTCAATTTCATTGGTCTACATGCCTGTTTTATACCAATATCACACTGTCTTGATCATACCATGTCATGTCGCTATACCACATGTTGTAAAACCAAGGAGTGTGAGTCATCCTACTTTCTTCTCTTTCAATAGTGCTTTAACTCTTAGGCACCCCTTGCCATTCTGAATAAAGTTAAGGATTGTTTTTTTCCATTCTTGTAAAGAAGGCTGTTGGAATTTTGATAAGGATTGTGTTGAATTTATAGATGGTTTTGGGTCGTATCGACATCTTAACAATATTGTCTTCCAACCCAAGACAGAGAAGAGCTGTCCATTTACTTGTCTTCTTTAATCTCTTTCAGCAATGTTTTATAATTTTCACTGTGTAAGATCTTTGTGCCTCTGGTTAGACTTATTCCTCAGTACTTGATTATTTTAGCTTCTACTGTAAATGGAGTTGCTTCTCTGATTTTCAGTTTGGAGTTCTTATTGCTGGGGTACAGAAACTGCAGGACTGGATTTTTAAAGCTGGGTATAACTTTAGAAATGGAAGAGTGCATCCTTTTTGTGCTATAGAACAAGGAAGTAGCAGCTCCGTCAGCACGGAGTCCGAAGTTGTCTTGAATACCAGTCAATGTCCTTCCCTTCTTTACCAGTGTTCTTATCACCCAGACGGTCAGCACAAGAATACAAAAACCTGAACAAACCCAGAGACATCTAGAACATCCTCAGAGTAAATCTTTGCCACTGAAGAGTAGTGTGGCTTTGATGCAATCAAGATCCTTCCTACTTCTCCAGTGCTTGGACCAAGTCAAGGCTGTCAGCTCTCAGAGGCTGGCAAGGGAGAAGAGGTGATAATGGAAGGAATCTGACCAGAATCTTATCTCAAAAGAGAGGTGCAGACATATTTCCACACATATCCCTGCAGCAAAATGGAAAGTGAAGCGGAAGAATAAAACACATTCCCTCATTCTTGGAAGAGGCCCTGATCAATGGAAGAGATCTTATCAATGGAAAAAGATATTGGAAATCATGAAATGGGCAGGGGAGAAAGACAGGATATTCATATAACCCCATAAGAGCACAGCATCAAGTCTGGGGTGCTGGAATTCACAGACTCGAAGAGAGGAGGTAC